ATATAAATATATTTTTGTATGGTGAAATTAATTATATATTAAAATCTTGTATAATATATTTTAAAACTTATTATTATATATTCCCTTTTCTATGATCATTATTTTTTAGCTTAACTTTAAATTCTCACTCCATTTTAATATTCATTTTCCAATAGGATGAATATATAACTTGTAATATTAATTTGAAAAGTACAAAGAAAACACATTGGACGTTTCTATCCATTTACCGTCTTTTAATCCATTATCATTATATGTACCTCCACCTCTATAGTGTTTCATTAATCACTTACATAATTTTAAGTTCATTTTCATATTATTTTTTGTATTTAACATCAAATTTTCCATTTTTCTTTCCATTTTTGTATTCTCCACTATAAAATATTTAGCAGGTGCTAGAATTATTAAATTAAATTACTCGCAAAAGTACTCATATAAAACATTCCAAAATCCAATTTTAGTTTCATTCTCATCATAAACCCCACCACCACTAAATTATAATTTGTTTTATTTACATATTTCTAAATTCATCATCACTTTATTCCATGTACATAGCATTCCATTACCCAAATTTTTTATTATTTAAGTATTCTCCAACTAAAATAACTTAGCAACCACTTGAATTGATTTATGATTGATAATTACTTATGAAAATTATCATGTAAATCCTTCCATTTTCCTTATTTTTAACCAAAATCATCATATAATCCTCCTGCTCTTAAATGAACCATAACATTATTACATAGATTTAGTATAATAATTAGATTTCCATTCTCCTTTTTTAATTCCATTTAAATATTCTCCTTAATAAGTGACTTGACAAAACCTTTATTATTAAAGATGAATATTACTGCCAAAAATCATCATGTAAATCAATCCACATTCCATTCTTTTAATTATTCATATTATAATCTCCTCCTCCACTATTATCATAATCTTTATAAATACATCAATTTCTTTTTATCATAGGAATTCCATCTACCAGCCTTTTTCCCATTGGCGTATTCTCCTTTGTATGATACTTAACAATATCTAGATATTTTATGAATTTTATCACTCAAAAAAGTTCTAATGTAATTCTATCCATTATCCTATTTTCAATCCATTGTTGTCATATTATCCTCCTCCACTAATTATTATTTCAATATTAAAATTTACATAATTTTATTTTTGAATTTAGTTTCCCATATTCCAATCTCTATTCCATCCTTATACTTTCCTGAATGCTTAATTTAAGATTCACTAAATTATTATTATTAATACTTATAATAATTTGTATGCAATTCAATCCATTCTCCTTATTTTATCCCATTATCATCAAAATGACCTCCACCACTAATTATCTTAATCTTCTTACATTACTTTTTATTCTTATAATATTTCCCATTTTCCAAATTTAGTTCCATTTTTATATTACCCCTAATTAATGACTTTGCAACGACTTCAATAGCATTTTTTCAATACTCCCAAAAATAATCTGATAATTCTATCCATTTCCCTGTTTTTTCACCCTTTTCATTTTAAAATCCACCAATTTATAAAGGATATCCTTTCCAATAAGCAATCATAAAGTCTAAATTTTCAATTTTTAATCCTATTTCACTTTTCCAAGTTAAATTTTTAATTTACTCTAAGTTTAAGATTTTCTTCCGATCTATATATTCATGGCTGAGAAATTCCCTAACATAAAAATGTTTATACTATTTTAAAATCTCACCATCTTTTATATATTTAATTTGTTTATCTTTTTGATTGTATGAGATTGTTAATTTTGTTTTTTTTAATTTTAAGTCTTTATCTTGAACTCCCTCCGCTTTCCAAATTTTAATTTCATTCATTATTATAACAATTTAAATATATAATTTATTAATATCTCATTTCAAATAATTAAAGTTTTTAACTTATTTGTTTCTAATATCAAATATTTTTTAATTATAAAAATATTGTTTAGTTAAATTATAAATTTTGATTAATGCAAACTTGATATTTCTTGTAGCATGTCATTATAATTTCTTGCATTCATTTATTCTTCACTTTTTGTCCATCCATAATTTTTAATCATCTAATATTCTATTCACCAATAAAATATAAAAGTTATTTAAAAAATGATTAAATTACCAAAAATAACTAATGAATATAGTTCCATTAACAAAGCTTAGTATAACTTTTTTATCATTACTCAATCACATATCTAATTTATCCTAGAAATTATTAATTAAGATTTGATTGTAAAGTGTCTCATATATTAAATTTGTAGAATAGAAATTAATGAGATTTAAAGTATAAATAATTATTTATTGGTCTTATATAATTAAATTCATTCTATTTTTTGAAGGTATATTGCATTATCAGGTAAATAAGTTTGAATGCCTCTGGATAACCAATTAATTTTAGATATTTCTAGATTATTTGAAATATTATATCTTCTGATAATATGAGCTAATATAATTTTCGCTTCTATCATCGCCATATGCTATCCTATACAATTTCTACCTCCAGCAGCAAAAGGAATATTAACAAACCCATTATCTTTTGAGATTGGCTTTTATTGTAACCATCTTTATGGATAAAATTCTAAAGGTTTTTCATAATGATTTGAATTGATATTTGCTAAAAAACTACCTAGAAGAATATAGGATCCTTTTTTAATAAATAAATCTTTGATTTAAATATCAATTTTAGCTTATCTTACGATTGGATGAACAACAGATGGTTTAAGTCTCATAACTTCTTTTAAAAAACATTCTAAATAAATTAATTTACTAAGAATATCAGCTGTAATGTCTCCTTCACCAACAAGTTATCTGACTTCATTTCTTAATTATTCTAAATACTATTTATTTTCAGATAGAAAGAGTAAGGAGTTAGAAACCAACGCTCCAGTTGTTTCAGTACCTGCTAAAAATAGAGTAATAAATTATGAAATAATATCTTCAACATCAATTTATTGAGATTCATTTTATTCTTTACATTTCAATAATTTATTTAAATATACATCCAAAAAATCTCCATTTTCCAATTTACTCCCTTCTTATTCTATTTTTTGTTTTCTTCTTGATATAATTTCCTTCAGATCTTCTTTAAATTTAATCACTCTATTCAAAATTTATTTTTCTGCTTTTAAACAATAATTCCAAGATTTTAAACCTAAAAGCTTTTATTTAAAATATATGAAGAAATTGCTAAATCTTAAAACAACAAAAGATTTTAAAATTTCTCCTAATTCAATTTAAGCTTCTTTTCCATTAATTTTCCATCCTTAGGCTTCTTCACCAAAAAAACTTCTAATAACTACTTCTCCAGTTATTGAACAAATAAACTAAAATATCATATTAACACTCTTATTGCAATTGATTTTGTCGCATATTACTTAATTTATCATTGGAATTCTTTCCTTTAATTTTTCAAAAAGAAAATGATCACTTAAAAGATTTCTTTATTCCTTCCATTTGACTCCTTCTGCAAATAAGAGACCTTTGCTTAAAAGAAAACTAGCCATAATAATAAAAATATACTCTTTGATACCACTTTAATCATGCTTTACTACATTTTGATGATCTAAATACAATGGTTTGTAATAGTCAGGATCCACTAAAATAAATACAGGTTTAGTGACTGAATTAGAGATAATCAATTTGACTTCAGGCTGCTTATGGATAATATCAATCAACCATTATTATGGATTACCTCTCTTGGATGATGATCTATATATATAGATTACACCTAATATAGGAATGTATTTGAAATAAACATATTTTCCAAATTACCATTTTAGTCTGATCATAACAATTAATGGTCTTAGTATTAGATAAACAAAAACTATTGTTAGAAATGCAGCAATCTAAAGAAACATTTATTAATAGCTTGTATCATTAATTAAACAGATTTTTATTCATGAAATTTATAATCAAATTAACAGGCGTTTTCTTATTACGCCATTAGTATTAAATAATAAGTTTGAATTGAAGTGCAATTTGTTTAGATACAACAATCAACATTATTTATAAATACTTTTAATAACTTTAAATAATAATTTTCAGTTTTATATGTTTTTAAAAAGACTTTTAATGATATAAACTTATTATGGTTGTTATTTTAAATTAAAGCAGTAGTAGCTTTTTAATTAAAAAAAATCAAGAGTAATTATAAATATATTTTACAGTGTGATGTTAAAAAAAAAGTAACAAAAACTTAAAATTATCTTGAAAAAAATTAAATCTAATAAAATATTTTGGTATTTAAATTTTCATTAAGAATTATTTAATTAGAATGATCAAAATCAAGAATTTTATAAATATTTAATTAATGGAATTTAGACTTTGCACTTTTTAAGTATTTTAAAATAATATCAATTAAGATAGTTTTCTCAGAAGTTAATTCATGTTAAGATTAAATTTTATTATCATTGTAATTATAAATGAATTTTATAAACTTATAATAAAACTAAAGAAAATATTTAAACTTGGAAATTTACACAATATTTTTCAATACAATTAAAAATTAAATATTTATATATTTTATGATCACAATTTATAATGCTATAACTTTTTTGTAATTAAATTGGAATCTCTAAAAATTTTGTTTCAAACCATTTAAACTTAATTAATATATTGTAGACTTTCTTATACAATCCAAAGGGATAAAATATTTGATACGATTATTTTAATTTATAATGTTTGGAGTATTTGATAATAATAGAAAGAGGATAAAGGAACTTTTATATTTGAAGTTATTCTTAAAAAATTTAAGTCTCAACTGTTTAATCATTATTACTTCTTTTTCATTTTATTATTGATTTATTAAGTTATATAATAATAAAATTCATTAGCTATTAATTTCTAGACTGACAATTAGTTTTAACAATTCAAAATTATGACTCCTTAGACATGAATGAAGAAGAAATATGAGGAAAAAATAAAAAGGAAAATTAATCATAATTAATAATATGGTATGAGTTTACTTTAATAAATTAAGTTAAAGATGTAAATATGAAATCAATATAAGGCTAATTTAAATGGATAGTGAATAAAAGAACAAAGAATTGGCAAATAAAATTCATAAATTTTTAAATATCAGAATCATGTAAAAAGAAAAGTGAGAAAATATTAAAAGGTTGAAAGGAATCCTTTAAGGTCTACAAACATACTTTATTTAAATATATAGTAATCATGAATTAAGTTTATGGATAATTTTGATAAAGAATAAATCATAGAAGAAACTATCTAATGATTTATATGGAGTTAGTGTGATGGAATATGTGATAAAGAAGGATTTTATGATAGGGAGAATAATTTTAAAGACACTTCTAAGAAATTTAATAATAAATAACAATATTGGAAGAAAATGATAGAAAAGTACATAAAAATGACACTAAGGTATTTAAATGTGAAATTCATAATAAAATTTGTTTAAATGAAGTTTTTAGAAATAGAAATGGATTTGATTGAGATAAAAGGAGACAGATAGAATTGACTAAAAAGCAAAGAAAATAGGATAATTAAATGGATTTAAAAAAATTTAAATAATAAATTATTAAAATAATTATGAGACAAGCCCAAACAAAGAAATCGTTTTATATTTCTGATTCTTCATATTACATTTCTTTAGTATGCATAATAACATTTGAAATATACTCTCTTTATAGATTTTGGTTAATATGCAAATCAAATAAGATAGAGGGAACAGAAGAAGGTAGATTAATAAAATAATGATAGGATTCTTTGGTATATTAAGAGATCATTCAGATCCATAATGGGGAGAGTTTGCAGGACATTTAAGTGAATTAATGATATTTCAATTAATATTTTTATTGGGGTCTTATACAGTGAAATATAAAAGTAAATAAGAGAATAGATACAAAAATCTATAGTATTATAATATGATTGTTGGATTAGGATATGCATTTTATTTACATAATATTGGAATGATGTTTTAGATGGCTGTAATAGTTAGTTTTTATATGTTCTAAAAAGTAATAAATAAAAATATATTAAAGATTTGTTATAAAATGAAATATTTCATAATAATATTATGGAGTTTTGCATTAATGACATTATGGTTAAATGAAAAATTTTAAGGATATTAATTTAGAATGATTTCTGAATCATTATAATTTTTAGATGGATTTAGAAATAAGAATTAACTAGTAAGTTGGAATCTAGTATTTAATATGATTTTGTTAAGAATAATAAGTTTTTCAATTGATAAGGTATGGGCATCATAATAAACTAAAAATAATAACAATTAAATTCATAATGAGAAATAGAATTAAGTAAAGACTTATAGAGATCGTGTAGAAGAGAATTAACCTATAGAAGAATATAATTTTGTTGGTTATCTTAGTTTTTTATTTTATGTGCCTCTTCTCTTTTCAGGACCATCAATGGGATATAATGCATTTAATTCTTAACTAAAAACACCTTAATAAAGTATGAATAGAAGTTAAGTATTAAAATACATTCTTAGAGTATATCTTTTAGACTTTTTAACTTTTGAAGTATTTTTACATGTATGTTATCCAAATGCAATACCAAAATTAGCATAAAATTTTCATATTTTATAAAATTTTAGTGCATATGAATTTCATATTATGTGTGTAATGAATTTAATATTTTTATGGTACAAATTTTTAACAATATGGAGAATTGCAAGAGGATGGGCTCTATTAGATGGTAATAATTGTTAATATATTAATTATAGGTATTGAAACACCTGAAAATATGAATAGATGTTTATATAACAGTTATAATTTTAGTGGATTTTGGAGATCATGGCATAGAAGTTTTAATTAATGGTTAATTAGATATATCTATGTACCATTAGGAGGTACTAAATATAAATCATTAAATATGTGGGTTGTATTTTCATTTGTAGCCTTATGGCATGATTTTAAATTAGATTTATTATTATGGGCATGGATTATATGTTTAGCATTAATTCCTGAAATTGCATTAATAAAATATTTTGATAAAGAATTCTTTTATAAAAAATGGTGGTTTGTTTACTTATGTTAATTAGGAGGAGGATTTTAAATATAAATGATGTGTTTAGCCAATTTAATTGGTTTTGGAAATGGATATGAAGGAATGACTTTTGTTTTCTATAAATTTATGAGTTTAGAAGGCTTAATTTGTTTTCTCTTCTATTGTATTGTTAGAAATGGATGGATAACCACCATTCAATTCAGAATCAGAGATGATGAAAATGCTGAATCAAATGATAAACGATTTTGATATCTAATTAAGTTATTCAAAAAAACTTATAAAATATTTTTAACATCCTTCTTATTCTTATATATTAATGACATTCAAATATAGAAGTAACTAATCTTTATTTTATTATTTAATTCATTTTATATCAATTTCACATTCATTCAGAAGATAAAATATTCTATTTATTTAAAACAAACTACTTTTAAGATAATCTCTTTAAAAATAAAGATTCTATTAATATTTAAATAGATGGTTCCTTGGTCAATTTCTATTGTAACCAATCATTTAAATATTCATATCTCATATCTAAAGTGAATTAAGTTGAATTCTAGAGCGATTGTTGAATAATTCATTTCTTCATACACTAATTTAGCAAAAATATTACTTAATGCTCTTGAACATAAAGTTTACATTATAACTTTCATTATATGCAATATTAATAATATCAAGTAGATTTTTATGAATAACAGTTTATTTTATAGTAATAAAAAGTAGAAGACAATAATATAGTCTTAAAAGTATTTAATACTCAATCAAATCAATCAATAAATAGAATGAACAGTCATTTCAATGAAATTTTTATATCTCGCCCTATTTAATATAGAATTTCGATATAATTTATTAGCAAATAAAGCATTTTTAAACTTTCATAAATATATATAAAATTATCATCAAAACACAAAACGAGTTCAAAATTTTTAATATTTAATGTTCCTTTAAAAAAGCTTGAAATAGATATAATCTGTTATCGAATTTATAAAAATATATATATTAGTTTTTCTGATTATTAAAAATGAAAATTATACTAGATGGATAGAAAATTTTTCAATATGATTACACCTATACTAAAGATTAAAGAAGTTTCTAAATAGATAAATAGAGAGAGTTAGTTTTACCTTTAGCTGGATAATCAAAATGAAAATGAAGGCGAAAAATTGTATAAAAAATGGATGTAAATTATGGATATAAAAAGGCATTATGGTAAAATTGACCTAAAAGATTATTCAACTTTAAAAATGACTTAATAAGGGAGAGGAGCAATATTCAAGATCCTTAAAATTTAAAAGTATATTTTTAAAGTATATCTTTTTATAAAAATAACCTTCTTTAAAACCATTAAATTCAAATTGTTGTATTTAATTTAAATTATTGCCATATTATTATTTTGAAAAGGATAAGTTAACAAAAAATTTAGTTACAATAAGTTCAATTTTAGTAAATTTGAACTAGCAATCAAAAATGCCTTGTATTTAGAGAAAATGCTAAATTATATTATATTATATTATACACAATCAAGAACATAATAGGCATTTCATTTTTGTGTACCGATAGCTGCAATGTTAGCAAAAATTTTAAGTCTAATCATATTATAAGCTCGCTAACTAGATAAAGCTCGAAAATAAATTCAAGTTAATCCTGAAAATTTGAAAATTGAAATCTATTTAAAATAAAGCAAGACTAATAATAAAAAAATAATCATATTTTAATATTAATAGATTTAACTTCCATAAAAATTATTAAATATTTAATTATTAAAAAAAGAGATTTTAACTCTTTTTATTTATATACAAAAAAATATTATAACACATTTAATAAAATTATTAAAGCAACAATTTAAATGGATTTGAAATTAATAATATATCATTTATTATCAGCTTATTTACTATTTAGCTTTTTAATTTTAGATCCCTTAGTTTTAAGGTAGATTATGATAAAAATTAAACAGGAGGATTAAATTAATATTAAGAATTGATCATTTTATTTAAGTATGTGTACATGTAATGAAACTTTTTCAAAAGATATTTCATTTTATGCTTAAAGTAAGAAATTATATTATTGTTCTTAAGAACTTTGTAATTCAATTTCAAATCCAATTATTCCTAAAAAGGCTGACGAATGATTGCGGAAAATAAAATGAGTATTATTTACTCTTTTTATATACATTAAATCCAATGATTTATAAAAATAGTCATAAAATTTGCGTTCTTCTTTTAGCTAGTAGAAAAAATATGTGTTAGTTGGAATTTATTTTAAAATTAAATAATTTTCATCTAAATAGTGAAGAATAAATTTATCTTAAAGGTTGATTGAATTTTTATTTCTAATTAATTTTTGTGTTTCAATTTAAACTGAATGTTTCTTTTAATCTATTTGTAATAACAAAACATAAGAATATTATTAATCTGCTATAAAAAGGAGTACATAAATTAAATCTTTATTTTAGTTACAAGAGATTAACTTAATTATTGATTCTTCATTAAATTTATTTCCATAATTATTAAATTCAATTTATAATTCTTTAGTTATTAAATATGAATATATAATTCTTCTCTTATCTTAATTTATTGAATTGATAGTTAATTATAAATCAAAAGAATCTATGTTATTTTTCTATAATATCAAATATTAATCTTAAGATTTTTCAATAAATATAATATCTTCAATTTTGTTAGGTGATTCTACAATATTAAAATTGAGTTCTTCTACACTAATAATAATATAATTAAAGTTGTTTAATATTTTTATTAAATTTCCAGTTCTCTTGATATTATTGGTATCAATTTATTCTAATTTGACGTTATCATTTAAATCTGATATTAATTAACAATTATCATTTTTTTCAAAACATTAGATTAAATGAATTTTTATGCTCTTGTTTAATTATAAAAAACAAACATAGTATTGCTATTTAATCCAAGTAATATATAAAATACTATTAGGTTAAAATGAATGAAGAATTTCATAGATTTAATTATCAAAAATTATTGCCTAAAATTCAAAAATTTATTATTTGATTTCAAATTTATAATATTTAATGCAAAATGTAATTAATTAAGAATTACATTGCTATAATTACTTCCTTAGTATTAAAGGTCCATTCAAAATGGCAGTTTAATTGGTTATAAGAGTTAAATTATTAATTGGGCCATAAAATAAATCAGAAATGTTTATTTATATATTTTAATTTTGTTGAATTTCAAAAATGGATAAATTCTTAAGAGAATATAATTGAAAGCATTAATTTATAATTAAAATTTTTAAGTCAATACTTTATTCTTCTTATTAGGATTTTGGTAAACTCAATAAATAAGGCGATGAAAAACTATTTTATAAAATTTATTGAGTCTCTACTTCAACAATGAATATATTAATAAATAATTATGTCCATACTTTTTTGTTAGAATATATTAGATCATCTTTATAAAATGTAAAAAAGGAATTATCGGTTGCTATAATTTTAAATAACTGTAAAAAAGAAGGATTATATAGAAATATGGCTATAAATAGAAGTCCATTTTATTCAATTAGAATGGCTAAATTTTTTTATTTTATAGCATACTTGAATGGATAATAAAATTAATAATTCTAGAGAGTGTAATTTGAAATTTAATGTATTTCGTTTTCATCTAAAAAATAAAGAGTTAAAGATTGAGTGAAATTTTGTACTGCAAAAACTAAGTAGAAATATTGAAAATAAACCTAATATTAAATAGAAATAATTTAGGTATTCTAAAGTTCATAAAATTTAATATTTTCTTAATTTTCCATGGCCATAAACTTTTGATATTAAATAAATTTTGAGCTTCCGATTTCTTAATAAAAAAGTATATGCTCAGACTAATAGAGATTTTTTTAAAGATAATTTCTAGAAAAAAGTTCATTAAAATTCCTTGATAAAATGATTGGCAATTCCGAATTGTTCATATAAATTAAAACTTGTTAAGGAAATTTTTATATATTTGTGATCATTCCATCAAATTTTAGGTTGTATTACAATAGTTATCCCTACTAAATTTAAATAACCCTCAACATATCTCTAGTATTTTTATCGTATAAATAATAGTTTTCATTAGATTCAAGTACATCAAATTGATTGATGCTAATTGAGATAATAATTTTATTTTTTTTGCAATCAAATATATAAAAATTTGTTTTATTTATAAAACTTATTTATAGAGGTATTTTCATAAATATAAATTCTATCTCATCAATAAATTGAAATAATTTTAGCTTTTTAAAACATGATTCTTAAAAGTTATGATAATTCCAAATACTTCCCCTTAAACTACTCTCATTATTATTTAAATTAAATGAAACGTTATAAATAGAATTTAATACTTCTGATATCCAGGTTTTTAGTTTACTTGAACAATTATTAAATAATTTTATTTATTAAACCAGTTATTATTATTCATCCTTAACTTAGGCTTTAAAAACTATTTTTAAACATTTCACTTATGCTTCTTCATTAAACAAATCATATTTCTAAATCAAATATAAGTACTTTTATTAAGGTTAAATATAAGGAGTTAGTGGATAATATTTATAAAATTATAAAACCTTTTTGATTTAATCAAATTAGCAGAATAAATTACCAATTGCAAAAAAATGCAATGAAGTATTAAAAATTTAAAAAGTCTAATTTAAATGAGCATTTATTAACACAATTAATTCAGATTAGTTTTGTAGGAAAATAAGATCAGAATGAAAGTGAATATTATTTGTTGAATATTTTTAATTTAAAACTAGTTCCTTGTTTCTTGAAGATTAAATGTTTATTTACTCATTATATTCCTAACTTGTGAGTAAAATTACAATTTGACATTTTTACACTAACAGTTTTTGAATTTGTTTTTTATTCTACTAGAAAAAGTAATTGATAGTGTTATTCCCAAATTTATTCAAATAAACTTAAAGATAAGAATTATTTTCTACCAAAAAAAAAATGGATCTATTTTATTTAAGTTCACAGAAAGATACATCATCAATATAGGAAAAAATTGCTTCCATTTTTATGGTTTCAGAATTCAATAAAGTCTTTACTTCTTTATTTTCTATTAATAATACGATCCATTTAGAACATTAATATAAAACAACGATATATTGATTTTCTGCTAATTTTATTTATTTTTTCTTGCATTTATCTTATATTTGATCTAAAACATCATACATTATATTTAAAGTTCTATTTCCTTATTGTTCTACTGTATATTATTTTAAAGTAAATTTATTTAAACAAAATAAAATAAAACTTCCATTATAATTTGTAAACATCTCATCACAATATTCATCAAATTATATTTTTGTATTTACTTCAAATTTTTCAGCATACTCTGTCTATTCCTCATAATTTAATAAATCAACGCCCATACAAGTGATATAATATTCAAATTAAAGAAGTAAGAAACACATAAGTTTTTAATGGATCAATTATGCATCGGGAGAATTAATAATTCTTATTAAAATTGGTTCTACTTTATAAGGTATTGCAAATGACTTTTTAATTATTTATTTATTAATATGTTAGAGTTTTGAATAATTTTCTTCATCTCCTTCTAAAATATAACAATTTAAAATAAACTAGTAACATGATACTTCAGGTTTCATTTCATAATTCTCACATGATGATGATGTGATTGAACAGTTTAATTGATAGGCAAGAAAACTAAAGAATATTAAGAAAAATTCCATATTTTATATCTATTTTATTATATAAAACTTGGTTATTATTTAATTTCCTATTTTGAACAATATAGATAAAATTTTATAAATTCTATAAATTATACTTATATATTTTTAAACACTACCTAAATAGAAGATAATTTTCCCTTTAGAAATTTAGAAAATTCTATTTTGAATAATTAATTCTTAATTATTCAATGATTTATAAAATTTATTAGATTTATTCTAAAATGGAAATTATTTTCAGAAGATAATAAATAATTAACCATAAGATGAATCTTTTAGATAAGGTTTTATTTTCATAAAGTGTTTCTTTATTATTAAAAGTTGGTATGATTTCCAAAATCAATAATACTTTTTTAAAGAATAATTTAAAAATAAATTTACATAATATTATTTATATATTTCATGAACTTGAATTTTCATTTAAATGATTTCTTGTTATTTATATTTATGTTTATGATGAAATAATTTTTAAGTATTTTTCTAGAAATCCAAAAAAATTTATACATTAATAAATCGTATTGTTCTTTAAAGGATATTAAGTAAAATAACAAAAAAAATAATAAAATAACTTTTAATCAATATATTAAGATGAATTTTACAAACATTATTGGTTGATTAAAGCAGTGTTTAAAAATAATTTAGAAATCCACGCAAATCAAGAATAAATATAAAGATTTTTTAAAGTTTTCGTATAATTTTTCATAATTAAAAATTTAACAAATTTTATATTTATGAATAAAATAAAAAACATTATAATGAATTTAAATAAACTTAAGTATCTAAGAGGAGATATATGATGGTATTCTAATAATCATAATAGGAATTAAAATTTAATTTGAAGTAGTTTGAATTAAATGTAAATATATAATATTTCCTTAAACTAAGGAACATATTTACTATCATACTAATAATATGTATTCTATAAGTAAATAAATCACTTATAAGGTCTAAATTTGTTTTATACTTGAATAAAATATATATTATAGATAAATTATTATAATGAAAGAAACTAATTACTTGTCATTCTTTAAAATTATGATAAGGCTGACTCATATTATATATAGTTTTTAAATTCTTTAAAAATTTTCTAATTCATTTAAAATTTTTGGTTGTTAAAGAGAAGTAATTAATATTTCAGATATGATTATTCTAGGAGTTGGATATTAAGTGAAAAATACTTATGAAGATGAAAACAAATCATTGAGGAGAATATATTTGTTTTCTAATAAATAGAATAAAACTCTTATTAATAGCTTGATTTCTTTAGGTTGTGTGATTTGAGTCTTGTAATGATTAATGAATAAGAATTAGATTGTATGGAGAGCAATATATGACAGATATTATTTATATATTAATTACACAAAATAATATATGAAAAAAAACTGTTAGGTTGTGAAAATTCTTGAAACTAAAAATAAATCTGTTTTGTGAATAGAGGAATTGTTTAAGAATTTGTTATTAAAATAAGATAATTTGATGTAGATTAAGTTATATAAAAGAGTAAAAGTAATTTGTTGGAAATAGTTAGAAATGATAAAATGGAAAGAAATACGTTTTTAAATAATTGTAATAATAAGTTGTATAACTGAAGGTTGGCATAATGAGAATGAGGAGAATAAATGATAGTTATAGAATAAGATGAAGTTTTATTGATATTGTAATAATGAGAAATGGAAGAATAGTATAGTTAGATTGAAACATATAAATAATTGGTAAATGTGGGATTGATAAGGAGATATGATTGATACATAATTTGATAATTTATTTAAGTTAAAATGAACATGAATATGAATGTCTTAATGAGGATAGCCATAATAATAATAATTGTATATGGAACAGATGTAGTAGTGGTAGTAGATTAATGTACTTGCGATAAACTTTTATCATAAATGGATTGTAAAAGTAAGAAAGGATGTGATTGGTCATCAAGAGGATGTTAAAAATAAGATTCTGGAGATGGTTCAATAGAAGGATACTGTGGATTAATAAGTGATGGTAATAGTTGTGCAAAGACAAAGGGATGTGCATATGTAGAGTCTAAATGTTAAATATTTGGTGGTTGTACAGCATATAAGGGTGTAAATAATGTAGAATGTTAATCAATATCTAAATTTTGTAATTCTGATGGAGATGCGTTTTGTATAGAACCAGAAAGTTGTAATTCATATAAAACATTAGAAGAATGTACAAGTAAAGCAAGTAATGGTGGGTCAGGTATATGTGTTTGGGATAACAGTTGTAGAGAATAGAAATGTAATGAAGCTGATATTAGTTTAAATACAGATGATAAATGTAATAATTTTATAAAGGGTTGTATAACAAAAGGTAAAGGATGTACAGATAAATTGGGATTGTGTTAATCATATAGTGGAGATATAGATAGTTGTGAAGGACTGAAAGGCTCAGATGGTTATTGTAAAGGAGTAGAAGAAAAAGATAAATGTAAAGTAAAAGAATGTTTAGATGCTGATTCAACAATAACAACAGATGAAGATTGTAATAAATATTAAATTGGTTGTATAACAAACGGTTATGGTTGCACAAAGTCTCCTTTAGGATCATGTACAACTTAAACAGGAGATGATATTATATGTTCTAAAAAGATTGGTTAAGATGGTTAATGCAAAGGAGTAGTTGATGGTAAAACATGTAGTGTTGTTGAATGTAAAGATGCACCTAATACTTATTCAACTAATTTAGATTGTGAAAAATACAAATCTGGTTGTATTACTACTGGCAAAGGATGTACTCATTTATTAGGAACTTGCACTTCATATAAAGGTACTATAACAACATGCCAAGGATATATTGGTATTGAAGGCAAGTGTAAAGGAATATCAGATGTTGAAGAATCATCATGTTCAAACAAAGATTGTAAAGATGCTGATTTAACATTTGATACTGATGAATAATGTAATGAATATTAACTTGGATGTAAAACTACAGGTAAAGGCTGTATTTCTACATTGAAAGATTGTTCATCTTATACTGGAAATCAAACTATCTGTAATGGATATATAGGAATTGATGGAAAATGTACAGGTGGAACTACGAATGGTAGTTGTTATCCTAAAAAATGTTCAGATGCTCCTACTACATTTATTACTAATCAAGAATGTTCTGATTATTAAACTAAATGTGTTGCAATTCCCACTGGAGGATGTATCTAAGCTGGAGAATGTAAGACTTTGATTATTTAAAATTAATGTGAAGGAAAATCTACATGTTAATGGAAACCATAATGTGTATCAAATGAAACTTGTTCTGATCTCAAAACTGAAATACTATGTAAAACAGTAACTTTATAGGATAAAAATACATGTTGGTGGGTCAATAGTACTTGTGTTCCTAGAATTTGCAATCAAGCACCTGAAACTTTTGATACAGATTCAAAATGTGAAACATTCTTAAACGGTTGTTTAACAAATAAAAAAGGTTGTGTAGATTCAACTGCTAAATGTACTAGTTATAAAGGTAATAAAACAGCATGTTAAAGTTTCACTATTAAATGTACAAATAGTGATGATGCAACTGATACAAGTACATGTAAAGATCCAGTTTGTAGTGAGAATAATGATGCTACTACAAATGATGCTTGTTAATCACTTCATAGAAATTGTTTAACAAATGGAAAAGGATGTATTTCAATAAGTGAAAATTGTAGTTCATATCCAGGAACAAGTATCGAGATTTGTGGAAAGTTTAAAGGTAATAATTAATAGAATCCTTGTTGGTGGAAGTTAGGTAATTCTTGCTTGGATAAAGTTTGTACAGATGCTGACACTTCATATATAAGTGATGATGGATGTGATAAATTTTTAAAAGGGTGTGTAACTACTGGAGCAGGATGTATTGGAAAATCTGAAGAATGTAGTGCATATAAGGGATTAACTTAAGAAGGTTGCTTAAAATTATCTAAAGGTTGCTCAAGAAGAGAGAAATGTACTGTAGAGATTACTTGCGATAAAATAGATAAACCAACTTCATAAGAAAGTTGTGATGCCATTTTAGCTAATAGATGTATATTTGTAAAAGATAAATGTTACTCTATTGGAAATTGTAATACTTATCCTGGTAGTTCAGTTGAAGATTGTAAGAATCTAGTAGATTTAAATTAAGAAAAATGTTATTGGACAATTGGTGGTTTATGTACAAATAGAGCTTGTTCATAAATATAAAATCCATCAGATTTAACAGTTTGTGTATCTCATATTTCTTAATGTGCAAAATCTAAGGATGGTACAAAATGTATTGATGTTGATACAGATAATTGTACAGATATAGGGATACCTAATCCTGCTAATGAAGAATAATGTTAAAAGTACCATCCAAAATGTCATTTTGGTATAATAGGTGGAATTGAAAAATGTACAATAGCAAAAAGATGTAGCTAATATGGTCCATCAAAAGATGCCTCATGTTCTACATTGATTGCACTAGGTGTTTGTAAATAAAATTTAAATGATAATGACTCATGTTTAGATGATACTTGTAATAGTTTTGCTAATGATTAAACCTTATGTAAATCAAAATCAGCTTATAGTGTTTCTGCTGGTCTACCTATACCTTGTTTTTATTTTAGTGATAATGGTACTGCAAAATGTGAAATAAAATCATGTGGTTCAGCAATATCTCATCTTGGTTCTGTTTCTTCATTTGAAGATTGTAATAAATATTATGATAATTGTGTCTATTCAAAAGAAAGTGATGGTAAATGTGTTGATGGTGGATGTACTGCTATTATGGGTTCTTAAGATGATTGTTTATAATTAAAAGGTAAATATTCTAATGGATCTAAAAATGAATTTAGACTATGCTATAAACATAACAATGCTGGTATATCTAATTGTGTTGATAGAATATGTTCTTAAAAGTAAGGAAATACTGATGTTATATGTTAAGAATGGCTTCCTACTTGTAAAACTGATGGATAAAATTGTGTTGATATAACAACTGCTTGTACAATAATGAAAGGAACTAATGATAGTTGTAAATAACTTACTGGAATCGTTTTTGGATCCAAATGTTAAGGTAATACTTCTATTCAAGGAGATTGTGTTGCAAAAAGATGTTAAGATAATGGAACAGCCAAAACTGATGAAGAATGTAATAAATTTTTAAGTGGTTGTATAACAACTGGTAATGGATGTATTGAAAGAACAACCACATGTGCTAAATAATGGGGAAATCAAAGTTTATGTAAATTATTGACTGGAAATGATAAACCATGTTGGAGTTTGTCTACTACAAATAAAGAACCCTGCATTGATCGAATATGTTCACATAACAGAGAAGCTTAAACTAATGATGATAAAATATAAATTGCAATTGTTAATGATATGCAAAATCATTTGAAATTTAAATTTTTTTAAATCATTTATTAATTATGTAAGCATAAAAATAAATAAAGTAAAGAGTTATCATTTATATTTAATGTAATTAAAAATTTAAGTTATAAAGTTGAATATTAGAAATAATAAGATTTTTATTTGTAGAAAATATTTTTATATCGGTTAAAATGATGGTGAAATTTTAGAAAAATTTCTTAGCATGATTTTTTATAGAACATAAAAAAAAGTAATTCAAATTATTCCATTCACAAATAACATTTATTTCTCCATCTTATCTTTTTTTATTTATGTTTATTGTTTTATAGAACATTCTATTCGCGATAATATTAAATTAATTGTAAAAAAAATTAGTTTTTAAATACCAAAATTATGAATTTTTTTAATTGAACTAATATTGTTTCGAATTATTTATAAATTATAAAGTTTTTTCTGCAATTTTAAATGTTTTATAATTATATGAATAATTTTGACAGTAGTAGTTTTATTTTTCTTTCTTTAATTCAACAATCTAACTGTTAAACACTCAAGATGATAAATATTATAGTTTAAGCAATTTAGATTATCAAATTATTATTTGTTATGATTTGCATTATTTATAATCATATCACTTTAAATAAAATATTTAGTCTTCATATTCTATTTATTATAAAAATAATTAAAAATTAGATTATGGAAATTAAATGTTTTTTAATATTTAGATAATAAGTTTCAATCTCTGTCTTAGATAGAATAAAATCGCTCTTCTCTAAATTCGATAGATTTAAATTCAAAGCTTTATTATAAATCAGATTCATTAAGTTCTTCATTCAAAAGTTTTTCTAAATATGATTCTCTTGTGAACCTCCCTTTTAAATATCTAAAATAAATAATAACAATAAGGTAGCTTAAGAATCCTGCTAATCCAACATAAAATGCTGATCCTAAACCATATTCAGCTAAAAGTTTATTAATTATTGTATTTACAATCTCCCTCTATTCCAAATATATAAATAAATAAGATCACATATTATAAGGTTAAAAGAAAAATAATAGTAATTTAATATTTCTTAGCCTTATAAATAAATTTAAAATCCAATTTTTCATTTTTTAATTGGTTTTTTATTATCATCATTCTATAGATATCAAAAATCATGAATAGAATAATTAAAATAATAAGGCTACTTAGAATATATCTGAAAACATTAAATTCTTTTGTATTTAAACACAAAGTTATTTAATCAGATAAGGAAATATCAGAACATAGGTTTCTTTATTAATATAATTATACTTATTCTGAAAGCACTAATTTTCATTACAACTGTAGTAATAAGAGATCCATAATTTTGAATTTGCTTATTTATTTGGAGTATATAACTTGTAGTAACTTAACATAAAAATTTAAGCTAAATTAAAAAAAGTACATACTTATTATCACAAAACTTTCCATGATCATGAAAAGCTAAAATACATGTTTAAGCAATTTGATATTTTAAGATCGACTTATTTAAAGAAGTTTTTCTTGATTTTAGGATTATCTAAGTTAAGGGTTCATTCAACAATATAAATTATTTTTCTTAAAATAATTATATTCACTTTTTTCATTAATGCAATGATAAATTTATATTATGAATCAGCTTTTTTTTATTAATTAATTTATGATTTTACTTTTATTACATCTAAATACATGTTTTCCACAATATGAATTTAATATAAAAAACTTAAAATTTAGATGTAATTAAATTCTATTTAAGCTATGGTTTTATTAAAAATTTGTTCACATGAATCTACTTTAGAAATTGTAGCTTTTTGATAAATAGAATGAATTAATTCATGATTAAACAATTATCAGAGTATATTTTATCCTTCATTTAAAATATATTGAATGCTTAAGCAAATTTCAAATTATCAAGACCTTTTATTCAGTTAACAAATTTTAATAATTTAGTTTCCTTAGCATAATCTTTCGTAAAGCTAGATTGTATTTAATTTAAATTATGCTATTTATTTGTTTATTTTAAGGTAAACCTATTGTATTCATAAATTTAAAAACAATTCTTATGTAAATAAAATTATAGATTAAACTCAATATTCTTATTTTTTTTGCAGTGATTCAAGAGTCATTTAAAATATTTCTTACCGCTTAATACTTTACTTTATCGAAGGTAATCATAATTATAATAATTTAAAATTTAATCTTATTTTGAAAAAGAAACCCTATTTTAAAACTTATTGCAATTGTTGAAAGATGTCTAAATGAATAAGTTTACAATTATGATTTTTATCAAAAGATATTTAAAGTATTCAATTATATATGTCAAGTAATTTTAATTGAATCCTTAAAAAGATTAGAATAATAAGAAAATTTAATAATTCCATATTTATGGTTAAGAGATTGATATTTATGAAATAATTGGCTTTATATTAGTGACTTTATCGACTCAAATGATAATTAATTTGAAAGAGATTAACAAGAATTTAGCTTAACAATGCTTACATATACATTTTTTTTATGTGTAAAAAACAATAACAAATATTTTCTCTATTTTGTAATTGTGCCCTTTAGAATACTTCTTCTCAAAAATAATTCAAATATCTTAATTTTAATTAACTGTTGTTTTATGTCTCAATTGACTATCGGATTACAAGTTATTTTCACACAAAAAAATGTATGTTTATTTAATTATTTTCTAATTTGATTTCACAATTAATTTCTTTAAACAATGAATGACTTTTTAATATACATTTTTTTAGAATCTATAAAAATTTTATTAATGTTATTAAATAATAATCCTCCATCTAATTGACTTTAAAAAGCACTGAATAGTTTATATATATATTCATTCCAAATTATATCTTATTAATTTTAGGGCAAGATATTTAGTTATAAAAAAAAGAATTGATCGAATATATATTTTATAATGCATCCAAAAACTAATAAACAATGATTGTCAGCCAAGAATATATAAATTTATAAGACATTACCTAAAAGCTACGATTAAAATATAAAAAACAAGATCTGTAAGCTAATGACATTTAAGGCATCTATTCAAAAAATAATAAATTTATAAAAATGCATATAGTATTTTTTCAAAAATTTTTTATAAATATTAAATAATCATTAAAAGTTAGACTTATTATTTTTTTGTTATTATCATGAGAATAAATTAGCTAAAGTTAAAATTGCATAATATCAGAGACTCCTGAGGACAACTTAAAACAATTTTCGTTCTAAAATTTCATACAACAATTATTTTTATATTTAAGTTTAAATAATTTGACAGTTTATAATTATTTATAACTTGCTAGATGTTATAGGCAGTAAAATAAATACATATGTAATATAAATTAATTTTAATAATTAAAAAAGAACATATATTGATAATGGCTAATTTAGCAATTATAAATAATAAATTAATTAGCTTTCAAGTTCAATAGTTAACATTATCTGGATTAAAATATTGTCAGGTTTGAAAATTCTTAAAAGAATCTGATTATTATTATATCATGTTTTAGAAAATTCGAAAAAATCAAGAAAATATAGTTATATATTAAAAGATTTTTTAAAATGTTATTACTTATAAAGATATTTTTTGTATTAAAGATAAAACTCAAATTGCTCAGTAATATAAATTATATTTATGAAATAACTTAATTTAAAGAATTCATTCATGTAGTTATAAAGTATTCTTTAAAATAAAACTTGTCAATAAAAATCTTAAATAGGCTGAGATAAATTTTTTAACACTGATACTCATCCATATATATAAGCTTAGAATCGTATGAATATTACTTGTAAATTATAATTTAAATTAATTTATTTATTATCTTACTACAAATAAAAAAAATCAGTCTCCCTTTTTGCTCAATATACTTTAATAAGACGAAAGAAGATGTTCAAGATATTCAGGTATGATCAAGTTTTGGAATATTCAATATGGTTTATCAAAGTTTAAGGAGAAATAAAAATCTCTAATTGATCAATCATATAATGGTCATAATCAATATGATTTTACTATGTAATATAATAATAATTTATTATTTCTAAGTATAAGAAAATATTATTGAAAGACTTTAAATATTGGCTTAGACAGAGTAATTCAACTTATTTAAATGCTTTTTAAAATTGGTTGTAAATTTTCATCAAAATTCAGTCTATTGGCTCCATATATACTAAATCAACAGAAAGCAATATATATTCAAATTCTTTCAACTCTATAAATTTCGATTTGGTTTAACCTGCATAGGAACTATGAAATAGGTGGGATAAATTTAGGAACAAGAAATACAGATGATATTAAAATAAAATGATATACTTCAATTTGGATAGATATGGAGTCATTATTTAGAATTTTGATACCTTCATGTTTAAAATTTATAAAAGGATGATTACCCTCTAAAAAAATTAGAGATAATATTTCAACTATTTGTATTTTAATACATATCTCTAACTTAGAGATTAATAAATAATCTATTGCTTCAAAAAATAATCAAGATTTTAAAATATTAAATAAATTACATATTAATATAGAGTAAATGATGATACAATATTATTGATATGATATACATAATTTGGATATTATTTTTAGTATTAGTTAAACAATAAAACAAAGTTAAAATACTATATGAATCAATTAAATTAAGATAGTCATTGGTAATTTAATAAAGGTATAAATTTTTAAAATACCACTAATGGTTGTAATTTTACAATGAATATAAGGTTGACGAATATACCATAAAATGCTAGTGCATATCACAATTAAGGCAATATATTATATCTTATCATTAGAATATGCGTATAGATAATTAGAAAAGTACGGTGAAACAATTTATATGTAAGAGGACAATCAAAATTAAATCAAAAAAATCATAATGACTGGCTAAATTGATCCTATCATCAATGAAATCTTTGATTTTTTTGTTAAACAAAAGAAGGAAAAATATTCAAAAAGAGGATCTTATAAATTAGATATCGTTTTTGGAAAGTAGTTTTGAACAATAATCAATAAATCTCTATTAGGTATAAAGCATTCTATAAAAATATTGAATTATTAAGAAACAAATTATTTGAATATATTAAATTAACAATCCGAATGAAATTAAGAGATTAATAATCGATTTCATTATAAATATCAATTAGAAAAAATTAATAATTATTATTTAGATTAAAAATTTATTATTTCTAATGATGTAACTCTAAAAATATTTATATATCTTTGTTGATTTAATTCTTAAACTGAATTCAAACTTAATTTAATTAGGTAATTTTATTAATTGATATTAGAATAACTATTTATTCTGATTTAATGTTCTCAAAAATTTAATTACATTGAAGTTATTCATTTTATTTTGTGAATTAATTCCTAAATATCTCACACTTCCATTCTGGAAAATTGCATTAAATTTTTTAAAATCTGATCAAATCTCTTTGCTGTTTCTCCTTATAACTAATTTTTTTTTTTAAAAAGTAATGAAATTTTTATTATAAAAAATAACTTTTTTAATAAGTCGAAATAGTAATCTCTAAATTCTTTTTTCCTTATATACAATACTTTACAGCTCCTTAAATAAATCTTTAGTAAACTTTTTTAATCTCTAAATTTTACTCAGAAATATGTTAGTTGAAAAAAACTATTATTTTAATGATTGTAATCGTTTTTTATTGATCCTTAAACAACAATTAACTGTTATTATTATGCAGGTTTGAATGAGAATTTAAGAGTCTGTATTAGACAGAACCTTTACATAATTCCTATTTTACAATAATAATATGATCTTTCAACTAAAGAAAATTAAAATAATGATTGTGTATTTATATCTGTATTTATAATTCAATCTCATTTTTATTAAAGGCTTTTTTTTTAAACATTCAGTTAATATTTAAAGAAATAAGTGCTTTTAAACATTCAGCTGGATATTTAACATATATATTACCTTTTCTATCTATAATCCATATAATTGTATTAAATCATCTATCTTTTACTTTTGTTTTACGCAATTTCCTATAATCAATAATATTTAACCTTTTGATAATAAGGAATGGAAATGATTTGGGTCGATTAATAAAGATTAATCAATCACTTTCATAGCTTCATTATATTTCTTTAATTCTCTTAATGAAACACCTTGAAATAAAGAAACATTAATACTTTTAGTAGATAATGAATCACAATTTTTTGGATCAAATTAGAAAGCTTTATCTGCCCAAAAAATTGCTTCATTATATTACCCAAGCATTCTTAAACTTTCCGCTAATAAGTTAAAAGATACTCATACCTTTTGTATGTAATGAATTACAATGCTTTGGATTAACTTATAAAGCTTTATCTGCCCAAATGATTGCTTCATTATATTACCCAATCATTCTTATAATTAATGATCGATCTGATAATTTAAACTTTCAACTAATAAATCAAAATCTAATCATACCTTTAGTAGATAATGAAAGAAAGTGCTTTGGATCAACTTATAAAGCTTTATCTGCCCAAAATATTGCTTCATTGTATTACCCGAGCATTTTTAAACTATCCGCTAATATATTAAAATATAATCATGCCTTTAGTAAATAACGCTAATTGATGGTTGCTGTTTAAAATTAATGCTTAATCCAATATTTTAATAGCTTCATCATATTATTACTTCAAACATAGTTATTATCCTTAATTATTGATTTAATACCCTTTTAATATAATTCTTCTGATTTAAAAAGATTGTAATTAGATATTTTATCAGAACTTTATTAGGTTATTTATGACTATTTCTAATATATATTATTTCTACTTAGGTTATTTTTTTTTTATGTCCTAACATCATTTTATTAATTTCCTTCTGTCAATCTTTTCTTCTCTTTTATTTAATTGTCATCTTCAAAACTTCTTAATAGTTCTTTGCAATCCTTTGTTTCTTAAAATGAGTCAAATAAATTTAATTTTTTAATAATCTTTTGATTCCATGATTAGTTAATTTAATTTAATTAATTTGATCAATTATGGAATGCTAAGTCATTTACTCAAGTTTTGTTTGAGTAATTAGTTTTTCTGTTTCATCTAAGAAGCTATATGTAACATTTGTTTGTCCACATATCTAAACTTGCTTGATCCATTCATTTGAATTTCCAATTAAAGAATCTTAAATATTTTCTAGTGCTTTCTTAAAACTCATTAATGGAGTTTTCGATTCTAAATTTTCCATGCATAGAGAGCACAAAAGTCTTTAATTCTTCTTGAGATCTTTATCACAAGCAATCATTAAGACTGGAAGCTTATGTTTCAAAGAACAAAATAGATCTTCTTCTGTTTCTTTCATTTTTGATTAAATCATTAATTAAAAAATATTAAAATGACTTTTAAGACCAGGGATTAATACTAGAATAAAGATATTAACCATACTTTAATACAAATTATGATAATACAATTCAAATAAAATAACTTAAATTTATTTTATTCTTAAAAATTTTCAAAAAAGTTCAACTGCTTTATTATTTAATGATAAAATTAAATTCTATATACATTTTGGAGAGATTGACAACGCTTTAATTTTACAGATATGAGAAAAATTTTAATTTAGGCATAACTATTCTTAAAGATGAAGGTAAAAAATACGTAGACCCACACCAAATAAATCTTAAAAGAAATTCTTCTAAATATATTTAATATTAAATAATGGAGTTATAATATTTTTCTTTTTATTTATTCAAAAAAATTTTCTTATTTTTCAGAATAAAAACTTTCTCAAATGTGAATACATTAACAATCTAAATCAATTTCAACATTTGCATCTTAATCTCTTAATATTTAATTTCTTGTTAGTTAAATCTGATTCAATATCAATATCATAGTATGTAAAAGTAAATAAGCCATTTGATCAACTGTTCAATAGAAAAAATTATTATATAAACAATAAATCTCCTTAATAACTATTTCGAAAAAATTTGATAAAATTTTTCATTTCATTTGAAATAATTTAGATAAAAACTTAGTTCACATGAATTCATATCAATAAATTGACTTTGGATTTCCTTTATTTAATAATTTATTTTGAAGTATATTTAATTCTTTAGAGAATATAAGCTATTTA